TCTGTTGAGGAAGGGCAACTACGCTGAGAGAGTGGGAGCCGGAGCCCCTGTGTATCTGGCCGCCGTTCTTGAATACTTGGCCGCCGAAGTCTTGGAGTTGGCAGGCAACGCCTCCCGCGACAACAAGAAGACCAGAATCATTCCCCGTCATCTGCAGCTGGCCATCCACAACGACGAGGAATTGAACAAACTCCTGTCCGGTGTGACCATCGCCCAGGGCGGTGTCCTGCCCAACATTCAGGCCGTGCTCCTCCCTAAGAAGACCCAGAAGTCAGCCAGCAAGTCAAAAGTCTGTGTACGACCTGTATATACCAAACGGCCGTTTTCACGGCCACCCAAATTTTTCGAAAAGATGCCTCTAAGATCAGACGCAAAGAAACGAAACTTGAATAATTTTATTGAAATAGTAAACACACAATACATGCCGTCACATCATGGAATTAAAATTCCATATTAACTCATGGCTGGACTGCCGTTGTTTAAGAAAACACACTTTACATACAAACGGGAAGAACTCGTGATAATTGCCCACAATTATATTATTAAATTCCCTACACTAATAAGTACTTTTTTTAACAGGTTATCATATAAATTACATCAATCTTGCTCCTATAAAATGTTTCCCTTGAGAAATGATAAAAATTATCCGGCGTAATTTCTAAGGGAATAATTGGACACAGAATCTAAAAACGTATTAATTACGCCATTTCCCTTTATTCTTAAAACAAATATAAAATGGGGTCATAATTGAATATGTTAACGTCGGCAAAATCTTCAAATCAATGAGTTTTGAATTGGTGACTTTTAAAAAATTGATCAATGTTTATAAATTTGTGTAGATAAATGCATGTATTTAAAGTAACATGTAAATCTTTCAGAATTACTGAACAATAGAGAGAGAGAAGACGTTCCTCCTCCGCAACATAAACTAAATCAGACGCACACGTGTATCTTAAATGTGAATTTTGTTTAATGATAGTAATATTTATAAAAATGAATAAATAAAAGTGATAAAATCTTTTCTGACTACACTATATAATTTTAACAGATATACCCCATGCAGGTGAGGATAAAAAGAAGAAGAAAATAAAAATTCGTCTCTTTGCTGCTTTCTAAATATATAATCTTTGTGTTTTTTTTATGGCTAAATTGATTATTGAATAAAATAATATTCAACAAAACAAAGAATGTGCATGTATGTAGGCTGTAAGTTATAGAATATTATTTACTCACGGAGAACAATTTTCCGTTTACATGTAAGACTGGGACATTCAATTCTAAATTCGAACCTTTTATTAAACGTAAATCATCTCGTTATTTCATTTTTTCTTTCTTTTCCCGTGTTAATTTTTGCTCCCCTCGATGTCATTCTATTTTCATGCGTCTACTGGCTTACGTTTGGCACACTTTCTGTGTTGATTTCTCACAGTTTGAAGGCGAATCGATAAGATTTGCAGGACTTGAAGATTCAAAAGGCATTTGTAAAGTAATCTTTTGAATTTTTGTAATTAAATCGTAACGGATAATTGTCGTTTCAAGAACATTTTTCAACTTTTAGCATACCACGAAGTTCAGAGACAAGGGTTCAGATGCCCATTTTCCTGAATTTGAGCACAATATTAAGAAAGAATTTAAGAATGTAAATAGATAACGTGTTAAAGAGATGACTGCAGGTTAGGACTCTGCTTATATTTTGCGGCCAGGTCCATCTGCTTAGTTGCAGGGCGGATGCAATTACCCTTATTGAAACACACGATAGATGAACGTACATCGACCTCGGCGGACTGGATGTTTTCTCGGGGGTCCGCGCTTGGTGCAAACAAAAACAGCAAGTGCGAATGACCGAGTTATTTGCATTCCCAGCTGTTCCCGAGAAGTAAACCATTCTCCCGAAATAGTCATGGCAGATTCCGTTGCTCCAGCCAAGTCTCCAGCCAAGAAGAAGGCCACAAAGCCTAAAGTGCCTGCTGCACACCCCAAGTACATAGACATGATCAGCGCTGCCGTTGCAGCCCTGAAGGAACGCGGTTCCCTTAGATTCCCTTATTAGTATTTATATTGCTTTTATAAGGCCTATTTTAGAATATGGAAATGTATTATGTGATCATTGCACACAGGAACAGAGTAATCTATTAGAGTGTGTGCAAATAGAGGCTGGGCGTATCATTACTGGGTTAAGGCTCAATTCTTCAAAACAAAAATTGTATAATGAATTAGGATGGCAAACGCTTAGTGAAAGAAGAACTAAACATAAGCTTACTCTTATGTACAAAATACTTAATGATTATACACCTGAATATTTGCAAGAAATGGTCAATCAATGCCTACCTGTTTCACATAATTACGCGTTACGCAATAATTCGTATCACTTACCAATCACTAGAACAGTTGCATACTACAATAGTTTTTTACCATCTACAATTAAATTATGGAATGATTTGCTAGATAGCTTAAAATCTGTAACAAGTGTAGCAAAGTTTAAACAGTGTATGCAAAATAAAAATCTTGAAGACAAAACAAAATCTAAATTATATAACTATGGACAAAGAAAATTAAATATACTCCACTGTCAGTTGAGAAACTTCTCTAGTATTAGTAATTTTAATGCTGACTTGTTTAATCATAATTTAGTTGATTCACCTAAATGCTTAAAATGTGGATATTTTTTTGAAGACTCTGTTCATTTTTTCTTTCAATTTCCATGTTATAATTTTGCCAGGAACATTTTAATTACATACATGAGTGACCATGACATACCAAGAGATGTCAATATTGTATTATCAGGTTATGATTGCCTATCTCTTAGAGAAAATATGTTATTCTTTGACCAAGTTCATAATTTTATAAAAAACACTAAAAGATTTTAGTCTGAGCCTTCCTCTCCATATTCTTATTACTTAATTTTTTTGTTTGTTTGTTTCTTTCCATCATTTTTTTTTCTTTTTCTTTTCTTTTAAAATCATGTTATTGTTTTCTTTATGCATTTTTTCTCCTCAATTTTTCTTCAACCATGTATTCTTTATAATTCTCTTAATATTACTTTATTATATAATACATGTTTTGTTGAACTTAAAATATGTACAGTAATTTAATTGTACCATGTGTACCTTGATCTCAAATGGAGAGAACTAATATAGGCCCTTGGCCTGCTGTTCAATCCATATTCATATTGTACTCTATGTATATTATGAATAAAATACTTCTTAAACTAAGGAACGCGGGGGCTCATCCAGACAGGCCATTCTCAAGTACATCATGGCCAACTACAAAGTGGGCAACGATGCTAATTTCATCAACGCTCACCTGAAGATGGCCCTGAAGAATGGAGTTAAAAAGGGTGCTCTCAAGCAGGCTAAGGGGACAGGCGCCAGTGGCTCCTTCAAGCTTGGAGAAAAACCCAAGACCGAGAAGAAGCCTAAAGCCAAAAAGGTTGCCAAACCCAAGGCAGCTAAGCCTAAGAAGACCGCTGCCAAACCCAAGACACACGCCGGTGAGAAGAAGGCAAAGACTCCTAAGAAGAAGGCGGCAGCAGCAGCCAAGAAACCAGCCGGACCCAAGAAAGCCAAATCTCCCAAGAAGAAGGTGACACCCAAGTCCCCAAAGAAGGCTGCAACCAAACCCAAGAAGGTCAAGACGCCTAAGAAAACAGCAGCCAAGAAAACCAAGACACCCAAGAAGGCAGCAGCAAAGAAATAAGCAGTCTGGGCATCCCTGTCAGTCTGCATCCAAGTTAACAAAAAAGCCCTTTTCAGGGCTACCAAATTTTCAGAAAAGATATCTCAGTTACAGTCGTTAGAAAATATTTCAACATGTATGCACAGTAATCTCTCACTTCTTTTCTTCTTTTTTTTTTCACAATTTCTAATTTTGTTAAACAATTTCAAATGCACCATGTCCTCTTGAACAACAACAAAATAAAAATAATTGAATGTGTATATTCCTGTATAGAGAGAGAGAGACTGAGTCTATTATTTAAATTTCATAATGATAATATTAAAGACAGAGAGCATGATTTCCTAGATGTATGTATGAAATGCAGATATGATTCTATTTTTATCAAACATGCAGACATAATAGTAATTTTATTAATGGTTTTTCATTTCCTTTATTCAAAGCTAGCTCTTTTATCAATTTGAACATTAAATGATGACTTGTGCAAGGACACTTAAGAATTATTTTTGAAATGCAATGATATTTACTGCATCTGTTGGACACTCTGTACATGATCACAAGCCTCTCAGGTTGTAGATATATAACACATGAAACACACAAAGCTGCTTACAAAATTCCTTTCTCCTGAATAGGTTCTTATAACTGCAGGATAGGTTATATCTTTAAAAGTCGTGGAAGAAAAAAGAAGAAGACACACACCTGTCACAGTGAAAACTATTTTACTAAATATTCAAATTACATATACAATCTCTATAATCTCGTTTATGAAACACTGATTCTTAAATAAAGCTTAGAAATCCTAATAGAAATGAATAAAATCCTTTATGATGGTTTATATAAAAGCATTAAGTTTACTAAATAAAAAGGTTTTTGTTTGTTGATACATTTAATGAGACATTTTTAGGATGAAAACTACAGCTCTGTGGGGACAAGCAGGTCATTCAACAAGAAAATGATAATTGTAAAATAGAATGATGATAATTATATAAAATATAATAAAATAATAATAATAAACAAACAAACAAAAAAACAAAGAAAAAGAAAGAAAAAAACAAAACAAAAAATGAACAGTCATAATACCTTGATTTAAACAATTACAAAATTCTGTGCAAAATGTGGATCGAAATGATTTGAGCACAGACCAATTGAAACACGCTGTGCTTAGCTAATCACAAGATGCCTTGTATAACACAGGGACCAATTGAAAACATTCTTACTACACGCGCCGGCGATTTCAATGTTAGATCGGATCCGGCAGGTCACAGAACAGTATAAAACTATACTTGACACGTCGTTCTACTCATTCATTTGATCTGAACTCAGAAAAGATGGCACGTACCAAGCAGACCGCAAGAAAATCTACTGGAGGCAAAGCCCCACGAAAACAGCTGGCTACCAAGGCAGCCCGTAAGAGTGCACCGGCCACCGGTGGGGTTAAGAAACCACACAGATACAGGCCAGGAACTGTCACTCTCCGTGAGATCAGGAGGTACCAAAAGAGCACCGAGTTGCTCATCAGGAAACTCCCATTCCAGCGCTTAGTGCGTGAAATTGCCCAGGATTTCAAGTCCGATCTGCGTTTCCAGAGTTCCGCCGTCATGGTCCTTCAGGAAGCCAGTGAGGCCTACCTTGTCGGACTCTTCGAGGACACCAACTTGTGTGCTATCCACGCCAAGAGAGTGACCATCATGCCCAAGGACATTCAGCTTGCTAGACGTATCCGCGGTCTTTTTTTTCACAATTTCTAATTTTGTTAAACAATTTCAAATGCACCATGTCCTTGAACAACAACAAAATAAAAATAATTGAATGTGTATATTCCTGTATAAGAGAGAGAGACTGAGTCTATTATTTAAATTTCATAATGATAATATTAAAGACAGAGAGCATGATTTCCTAGATGTATGTATGAAATGCAGATATGATTCTATTTTTATCAAACAGTGCATGCAGTAATTTTATTAATGGTTTTTCATTTCCTTTATTCAAAGCTAGCTCTTTTATCAATTTGAACATTAAATGATGACTTGTGCAAGGACACTTAAAAATTATTTTTGAAATGCAATGATATTTACTGCATCTGTTGGACACTCTGTACATGATCACAAGCCTCTCATGTTGTAGATATATAACACATGAAACACACAAAGCTGCTTACAAAATTCCTTTCTCCTGAATAGGTTCTTATAACTGCAGCATAGGTTATATCTTTAAAAGTCGTGGAAGAAAAAAGAAGAAGACACACACCTGTCACAGTGAAAACTATTTTACTAAATATTCAAATTACATATACAATCTCTATAATCTCGTTTATGAAACACTGATTCTTAAATAAAGCTTAGAAATCCTAATAGAAATGAATAAAATCCTTTATGATGGTTTATATAAAAGCATTAAGTTTACTAAATAAAAAGGTTTTTGTTTGTTGATACATTTAATGAGACATTTTTAGGATGAAAACTACAGCTCTGTGGGGACAAGCAGGTCATTCAACAAGAAAATGATAATTGTAAAATAGAATGATGATAATTATATAAAATATAATAAAATAATAATAATAAACAAACAAACAAAAAAACAAAGAAAAAGAAAGAAAAAAACAAAACAAAAAATGAACAGTCATAATACCTTGATTTAAACAATTACAAAATTCTGTGCAAAATGTGGATCGAAATGATTTGAGCACAGACCAATTGAAACACGCTGTGCTTAGCTAATCACAAGATGCCTTGTATAACACAGGGACCAATTGAAAACATTCTTACTACACGCGCCGGCGATTTCAATGTTAGATCGGATCCGGCAGGTCACAGAACAGTATAAAACTATACTTGACACGTCGTTCTACTCATTCATTTGATCTGAACTCAGAAAAGATGGCACGTACCAAGCAGACCGCAAGAAAATCTACTGGAGGCAAAGCCCCACGAAAACAGCTGGCTACCAAGGCAGCCCGTAAGAGTGCACCGGCCACCGGTGGGGTTAAGAAACCACACAGATACAGGCCAGGAACTGTCACTCTCCGTGAGATCAGGAGGTACCAAAAGAGCACCGAGTTGCTCATCAGGAAACTCCCATTCCAGCGCTTAGTGCGTGAAATTGCCCAGGATTTCAAGTCCGATCTGCGTTTCCAGAGTTCCGCCGTCATGGTCCTTCAGGAAGCCAGTGAGGCCTACCTTGTCGGACTCTTCGAGGACACCAACTTGTGTGCTATCCACGCCAAGAGAGTGACCATCATGCCCAAGGACATTCAGCTTGCTAGACGTATCCGCGGTCTTTTTTTTCACAATTTCTAATTTTGTTAAACAATTTCAAATGCACCATGTCCTTGAACAACAACAAAATAAAAATAATTGAATGTGTATATTCCTGTATAAGAGAGAGAGACTGAGTCTATTATTTAAATTTCATAATGATAATATTAAAGACAGAGAGCATGATTTCCTAGATGTATGTATGAAATGCAGATATGATTCTATTTTTATCAAACAGTGCATGCAGTAATTTTATTAATGGTTTTTCATTTCCTTTATTCAAAGCTAGCTCTTTTATCAATTTGAACATTAAATGATGACTTGTGCAAGGACACTTAAAAATTATTTTTGAAATGCAATGATATTTACTGCATCTGTTGGACACTCTGTACATGATCACAAGCCTCTCATGTTGTAGATATATAACACATGAAACACACAAAGCTGCTTACAAAATTCCTTTCTCCTGAATAGGTTCTTATAACTGCAGCATAGGTTATATCTTTAAAAGTCGTGGAAGAAAAAAGAAGAAGACACACACCTGTCACAGTGAAAACTATTTTACTAAATATTCAAATTACATATACAATCTCTATAATCTCGTTTATGAAACACTGATTCTTAAATAAAGCTTAGAAATCCTAATAGAAATGAATAAAATCCTTTATGATGGTTTATATAAAAGCATTAAGTTTACTAAATAAAAAGGTTTTTGTTTGTTGATACATTTAATGAGACATTTTTAGGATGAAAACTACAGCTCTGTGGGGACAAGCAGGTCATTCAACAAGAAAATGATAATTGTAAAATAGAATGATGATAATTATATAAAATATAATAAAATAATAATAATAAACAAACAAACAAAAAAACAAAGAAAAAGAAAGAAAAAAACAAAACAAAAAATGAACAGTCATAATACCTTGATTTAAACAATTACAAAATTCTGTGCAAAATGTGGATCGAAATGATTTGAGCACAGACCAATTGAAACACGCTGTGCTTAGCTAATCACAAGATGCCTTGTATAACACAGGGACCAATTGAAAACATTCTTACTACACGCGCCGGCGATTTCAATGTTAGATCGGATCCGCAGGTCACAGAACAGTATAAAACTATACTTGACACGTCGTTCTACTCATTCATTTGATCTGAACTCAGAAAAGATGGCACGTACCAAGCAGACCGCAAGAAAATCTACTGGAGGCAAAGCCCCACGAAAACAGCTGGCTACCAAGGCAGCCCGTAAGAGTGCACCGGCCACCGGTGGGGTTAAGAAACCACACAGATACAGGCCAGGAACTGTCATCTCCGTGAGATCAGGAGGTACCAAAAGAGCACCGAGTTGCTCATCAGGAAACTCCCATTCCAGCGCTTAGTGCGTGAAATTGCCCAGGATTTCAAGTCCGATCTGCGTTTCCAGAGTTCCGCCGTCATGGCCCTTCAGGAAGCCAGTGAGGCCTACCTTGTCGGACTCTTCGAGGACACCAACTTGTGTGCTATCCACGCCAAGAGAGTGACCATCATGCCCAAGGACATTCAGCTTGCTAGACGTATCCGCGGCGAACGAGCTTAAACCCCCTATTCTTGTCTCAGACAAACACATAACGGCCGTTTTCACGGCCACCAAAATTCTTAAGGAAAGATACCTTCATAATACAGCACACCAGAAACGTATATTCTAGGGAACAATATAAATCACTTGCAAAGAGACATTTTCATAGACACGCCAGTTAAAAACTTAAAAAAAAGAGTAAATTCAACAAGCAAAACTAGACTGTCAACTGTACCCATATCAATTACCAATCTACATTGACGGTTATAAAAGCGTGCAGCACGAGCTTAACAAAGGCGCCATGCAAGATAAATGTCACATGCATAATCATAATTTTACTTCTCTAACCATTGCAAAGAAACGTCACATGGTTACCCCCCCCCCCCCCACACACACACAAATGGATGATGAAAGAAGTTATAGACATACGTGCATTCATTATCGATATGACTATAACCTACAACTTAATTGATCATATAATCCAATATTTCGATCACTTGCCTATCATAAAGAAAAAGTTTAGTTTTCTTGTGTTTAAATGTATAAATCTATGTACTCGGGGGACTAAATTATGATATTGTTCGATTGTACCAGTACGTTGTAAATAATTTTGTATTACAAAGATATTTAACAAAACCTTTTGATGATAGATGTAAGAGAATGCTCCCCAAGATTAGATTATGAAACCACCAATTCAAAAATGAAACTGGTAGACATAATAATACACTTAGATCTCAAAGAATATGCTCACTATGCTCCTCTTATGATATTGAAGATAAATTTCATTTCATATTAAAATGTTCATTTTATGAAAATCTGAGAAGTATGTACATTCAGAAGTATTATTAAGTCAAACCTAATGTATTTAGAGTAGTAAGTTTGATGAGTAGTCAAAATGTAAAAGAGTTGTCGAATTTGTGAAAATTTTTATATAGCCAGTTAAGCTACAGATCTACGAGAGTCTAATTTGTAATTACTGTTGAGATTTATAGCCTTCGTGTATTTTTGTATATACTATTTATTCTGTACACTTTATCATGTTTATATGCTGTATAAAATCTGATGAGCCCTTAGCTTAAAGAATAAGGAAAGAAAGCTTTATCCCCGTTTTCGGTTCTGTTTAAAATATAAAACATTAAAACAAATTATATTAAATTAACTTTTCATTAACTGACTCGGAGGAAAATACACACATAGCCAAAGCTATGAGACAAAAGTGTCTCCTAATTAAATGTGGCATAAATAATGATAATATAGAACGAACTTAAAATGTCTGCAATTATGCAAATAAAGGCTTAACAACAGCTGGAAAAAGTATAACTTGCAAGGTGCGCAGAGCGAGAACCAATCATTACGAGGCTAACTGTCTGCCTTCGGGACGTGAAAAATTGCACTACCGAAGTTTTCAAGATGCCTTGTTTTCTAGCGCGTCGTTAATTGGCGCTATATAAATCGCGTTCTCGGCGGCTCACTGCATTTCAGCAGATTATCAACTGAGAGTTAAACAATGTCTGGACGTGGTAAAGGACGAAAGGGGCTTGGAAAAGGGGGCGCTAAGAGTCACAGGAAAGTCTTGAGAGACAACATCCAGGGCATCACCAAACCAGCCATACGCCGTCTTGCACGCAGAGGTGGAGTCAAACGTATCTCTGGACTCATCTATGAGGAGACCCGTGGTGTCCTGATGTATTCCTAGAGAACGTCATTCGCGATGCTGTCACTTACACAGAACATGCCAAGAGGAAGACCGTCACTGCTATGGACGTTGTCTTTGCCCTGAAAAGGCAAGGACGTACCCTCTACGGATTCGGTGGTTAGACATCCCTGCCATCTTGTGCTTAGCAGCGCAACAACAAACGGCCGTGAAGCGGCCGTCTTCACGGCCAATATCCTTAGAAAAGATGCCTCTCAACAGACGTAAAATTGAAATGAATAAATAAAACAAAACCAAATTTTAGAATATTGCACAGAGTGAGCAAACTGATTACAAAATTAACATCAACAACCTATGATGGTAAATTGCCGAAATAATAATAATAAAACAAAAAACCCACTATATTTTAAAAATTAGTCATAGATTGCGATGCAAAGACCACTGACGTCAAACACAGAGGCAGCCGCTGCACGAGATTTACATGCATATTAAGATATGAAATCCGCTAACTTTCAAAGAGCTATCACAGAGAGAGAGAGAGGAAGAGTGGGAGAATGTTGATAAGATTGAAAAATACACAAATTATACCATAAAACAATTCTTTTCAATCTTTGATTAAATTAATTAAATTGTGATGAAGTTATTTTTTCGTAAAACGTCTACTGTTAATGTAACATCGCCATAGTGTTCAAAGAGAGATAACTCCAAATTTTCAATCATTTGGAATGGCATACATTGCGCACAGTATTAACGGTATTGTCTCCCCCTAAATATAGAGGGCGCACGATTCGTTGCGGTCCTACTTTTTACAAACATGGCGGCGTCTAACGATAAGAACTACGGTGCTTGGGGTATCCCTATGCTCAAGCAAGCTTTGAGAGAAAAAGGGGCCAGAGTTTCGGGGAGGAAACGGGAGCTGGTAGAAAGGTAAGGACTATATCATTATATTTTATGTATTTTATGCATTTTCACGATAAAATAACCTCACCAACATAACTTAGACTGTCGTCGCGTTGGTTGCCTGACCAAAGCATAACGAGGTTGGTAGATATCTCATGAAAAGAGTAGACATATTTTTTTCGGTGCTGAAATCAAAATGTAGAACTTTTCAATGTTTGACTTCTGTTCAATTAATAAAATATGGGAGTTACAGCGAATGGTTTGTCGTCTGCCAGAGTTAAAAAAGGTCACATTTTCACATTGATCGTACAGGACCTGTTGATATCGGCATATCTTGGGAAATAAATGGAATTTTTGTATAGACTTTTGAGTAGGTCTAATATGGATTGTTTTATTGTTTCACAATAGACAGATATATATTTTAAAATTTGATCATTTTGTTTGTTAGGATCTTCATGTAGGTACATTGTACATAGGGTAGCCCTATCTGATAAGTTTGATATATTTTTTTGTATACACCTGCTCAAATCCAATTGCCCGACACCTTGGGCTGGTGAATTTAAGGGATGTGCAAGGGAAATTTTTTCAATCACTTGTCCATAAGCTTGACTTGAATATCAAAATTAAAATTGATATAGGCACTTATCTAAGCTAGGGCAAGTACATGATCAACATTCATTTGTCTTGCTTGAATTTTTGATTGTACTACCATACACTAATACTGAATTTACAAATATATTTCATAAAAGGGAATACAAACACTTTTTATAAACAAGCAAGCCCCTATTAAAAATCTATCTGTCAGCCCCTGATTAACCATCAGCTGTATTTTAACAGACTATTTTAAAAAGAAAACTTATATCAATATAAGGAGTTAGTATATTATCCTCTGTTGACCAGACACACTCACAGTTCTATATTGTATAGAAATCATAAGTAAAATTTTATAAATAATGAAAATAAGATTCTATTGATTATGACGATGATTACCGGTAAAGGTACTTGGACACAGATTTGAAGTTAATATTTTCTCTATAATATTACGACTTATATATTTTAATAGCAATTCACACAAAAATCAATTAAAAATCTTATTTCATTTAAAAGTTATTAAAACTTTAAATTTGTGGGCGGGTTTGATTGACACATCCTTGCACTTTCACAAATTTTAACTTTATTCTTAATCCTTAGGAAAAGTGGCAATCCTGATGTGTATTAATGAAAAATATTAATACTGTAATCCAGAAAATTCAGAGTAGACATGTTCTAAAGCAAAACAAACACACAATATTATATTGTCAGTCCGTGCAGATGTGGTGAACAGACTTTGGTGATTTAACGCACCCGGTGAATCGTAAACACCAAACCATAACATGTTTACAAATACCTGTGTACATAACACGAGTGTGGTCGATTCGCAAAACTCTGTACACAATGGAATGATGATACTTGTGAAGTAGTTCTGCTTTCTAGCATTTCTACTCTGAATAAAATTATTCTTCTTGATATAAGTTTTAATATTTCTCATTATTGCACATCAGGATATCCACTTTTCCTAAGGATTAAGAATAAAGTTAAAATTTGTGAAAGTGCAAGGATGTGTCAATCAAACCCACCCAAAAATTTAAAGTTTTAATTACTTTTAAATGAAATAAGATTTTTAATTAATTTTTGTGTGAAATGCTATTAGAAAATATAATTCATGATATTATACAGAAAATATTAACTTCAAATCTCTGTCCAAGTACCTTTAATTTGAAAATTTCGAAGTTTCTACGATACCATAATTTGTTTCAGACTTGAAGCGTATGATAGAAATAAAGATTTTGGTAGAGAGAAATTAGAGAATGAAGAATATTTTATGAGTGTGCCAGATCATGTTGTGTACAAAGATCTGAATAAAGATAGTGTGTGTGTGTCTGTGAAAATGTCTGCGGTGGAATTTTTTCTTGGTCAAGAGAACAAAAGTATTGACATCATTTCCAAAAATTTATACACTAACAGGTTTCTCAAGTACATTCGCTTGGCTTGCTGGGATAACTTTTACTTCTTCAAAAGTGAGTGTCATGCCCAAATGAAAAAGTCTGTGACATACAAAATTGATGTTTGCATTGATCAAGATGGTTGTGTTCTTGAAACACAATGTGAGTGTGCCGCAGGCATGGGGCCAAAAGCTCATTGTAAGCATGTTTGTGCCTTATTGTTAGCGATATGCAAGTTTTCTTCTTTAAAGAACTTTTGACTGAAGAAACCTGTACTCAGAAAATCCAAACCTTTCACAAATGTAAACCATTTTCTGGAAGCCCCATCAAAGCTCAAGATTTGCCACTTGCTAGAAAAGACATAAATTCTGTTAACTTTGACCCCAGACCAGCTAAATTTAGGAAAAGAACAGGGTACAATGACTATTTTAGAAACACTTGTATTAATCATGCCACTGTCAATCGTCTTCCAATTTCCCAGCTGTTTTCTCCTGCAAATACATATGCAGTTGACCTTGACCATGACTATTTAAACTCAAAACTCTCTGACATTTGGCTTGAAGAACAAAACATTACAAAAATAAGCAGTGAAGAAATTTGTCTCTTAGAACAACAAACACTTGGTCAATCTAAAAACAAAGTTTGGCTCTCAGAAAGATGTAAACGATTGCACTCATCAAAATTTGGTCGCATTTGTAAATGTACAGATAGGACAGATAAGGATAAGTTAGCCAAATCTTTCACTTTTGTTCATCAGATTAAGGCAGCCCCAATTGTTCATGGGCAAAAATATGAATCTGTGGCCCTTCAGAAATATTCTGAATTAACTGGAGAGGTTACCAAATGTTGTGGAACTTTTGTTAGTAAAACATGTCCTTTTTTAGCAGCAAGTCCAGATGCTATTGTTGTAGAACAAGATAAACTTGTAGAGGTTAAGTGTCCTTTTTCATCCAAAAATCAGTTCATTACAACTCAAACAGTTCCTTATCTGAAAGTTGTTGATGGCCAAACTACATTAGACCCTACCCATGATTATTATTTTCAGGTTCAGGTGCAGTTGTTTTGTTGTGAAAAAAAATCTTGTGATTTTGTGGTTTATACCTTCAAAGATATTAAGATCTTTCAAATTGAGAGGGATGATGTGTTTATTGAAAAGATGTTAGAAAAACTTGAGCACTTTTTTCAATTACATTTCAAGAATGCTGTCTTAGAAAAGTTTTATTTCAAGCAATATAACAATTTTTCATTTTGATATACATTGTAAAGGAATGTAGGAGATACTTTCTTTCGTGTCAGACTTCTGGGAGTGATTGATCGCTTAGAAATACTGTCTTCTTTTGTAGTACCAAGTTGCATTTGTAGTTTTTTTTTTTTTTTTTTTTTTTTTGCATGTGAACATGGTGTATATTAAGATCATGATGGGGATATATTTTACTTGGAGCTATGATAAGACTATTTCTATTGATTTCTTATTTAAACTTGAATGGCACATGATTGAACATTTTTGGTGTAGGTGTATTGAAGATGGATTATAGTTCATTTAGATGCTTGTGAATGGACTACTTTTTTCTCTGTTTTTCAAGTCCTAAATAAATTCCCAGTTACTTGACATGTTTGGTACATGAATGTTTTTTAGTTTCTTGTTTCATAACATGATAACATGTATAGAAAATATACATTCTAACAAAAGTTCCACTGTTTTTTCTTCTTACTTAAATAAAAGTGACCATTGAGATTACTGTCTACATCGACATGTTTCTTGTTGTATTCTAAATATTCTGTTCGGACACACACTACATAGTCATGCAAGCTAACGATACACATAATTATACATTACTAGTACTTAAGAGCAGGGATGTCTTATTCATAAAAAAAAAATAGATGCCTATATAAAGATGTGGACAGATCTTTTTTTATTAATTCATTCTTCGAATATGAGCAATCAAAATCTTAAATGGCATGCATACATTCCATTATCAATAAGTGATACACATGCATTATTCTAAGATGATGGTGCACAATCAATTTTCTAGTTGAGCATGTGGAAGAGAGGATAAAAACTAAGAGTAAGATGCTGTGTCATAACAAAACTAATTTTCAATACATGATAAATTGCCTAGAGTGCATAGCAAAGAGTTCAGATTTTACAAATCATGTACCTGTATATCTACAAATTTATAATATGTAGAAACAAATGTAAACATGAGACCCATGGGTCATAAAGACAAAGCTCATCTGAATCAATGTAACCCTGCAATTTTTTTTCATTTGTTTAGATGTTGTGGTAATGGCTCTATCATTTGGAAGTCATGTTTTGAAATAAAAAATAGAATCTACATTATAAAATGAAAAAAATTTCACCCTTGCTAGCTGAGTGATTCTTCATAAAGTTTTTAAAAGATTAACCCTTGAAAGGGGACTTGCCCTCTCTGTGGTTCTTGTGAAGAAGTTGAAAATTCAGTTAAGATCAGTGATGTAAACTACAAAGATAGCGTTTTCTCAGTTGAATATTCTTTAATATATAGTCTCCTGTATGGAGCAGTGGGTAGAGCATCTGCTCTAAATTCCTGAAGTAAGGAGTTGATCCTTGCTTGGCGGGTTCAAATTCAATTGTGGGACATGGAGACTACCTAGGGATGAGACCATGTAAACTGAGGTCCCACAGTAGGTGTTTGTACGAAAAAATCCCCCATGCTCAATGGCCCTGGGTGACAAGTATAAAACAAAATTTTCAGCTCTCCACCAGCAAATGGTGGCATCTCCATATGAGTGAAAAATTCTTGAGAGGGGTGTTAATAAAACAAAATACAATCAATCTTTAATAATATGACTTTAATATGCAGCATAATGCTACTGGAAGGTGGTAGTGGTGGTGGTGATATGGGGGGTTATGATGTGAACATACTTGAATCTTAGAATATAAGCTTTCTCAGTAAGTATCATTATTTTCTTCCAAGTGAACTGATTCTTGAGAAGTCTAAATTGTGGGGAAAATAACGGACAACATACAGACACTGAGTGTTTAGTGAATAAAAAAGCTGATTGAGCCTTCTGATCAGGTGTGCTTCAAAAGGAAAACTGGACTGACAGACCAACAGACACCTTACTTAAGCATTCTTTGGAATGATGCACTGCCTGAAATTACAAAGCATAAAACAGATAAATATGATTTCAGATGCAAGTTTGGTTTCAGTTGTGTTGAGTGGTTGAGTAAGAATTTTGAATGTTTTTGCTAAGCCAATAATTCGTTCAATGTGGACTCTTTTACTTGAAATTTTTCTATCTCTTTGAATAGTTTTGCCAGACATTCTATTTCTGTTTTTAAAAAATGTTGGTATATTAATAGTGACATCATAGGGTGCAAAAAGATCTTGTACATTAAACCCTTTATCAGCCATGATGCTGTCCCCCTTGTCGCATAACGTAGTAAGTCTCGATCTCTCCACTATCTGTCGGTCAGATGTTGAACCTCCATATGCAGGGGACAGGTAGGATATCAGACCACCAGGTGTTGCTCCAGCCAAAACCTTAACTGTGTTTCTATTCTTGTAGGTGGAGAAGGTGCTCTGCTGTGCTATGGGTGGCTTGGGCTTCATGACAGGACACTCTGTTCCATCGATGATCACCCTCGTGGTTGGAAACTGCTTGTTGAAGTCTGTTGGGGAAAAAAACTGGACAAGATCTCTCTCTGGCCACAGATCAACTTCTCTCCACTGACGAGACATGAAATTCACCCATGTTACCCAGATATTGGTCACTGAAAACTCAGAAATACCAAACAGCCTACTCAACTCAAAATTTGTCTTGTGCTGACGAAGCTTCATCAAAGTTAAAAAAAACTGATCTGGAACACTGACATTGTCTACCTGAGAATACAAATAATTCAGCTGGTAAGCAGCTTCACCTAGTGTCTGCAAAACAAATAAAAAGTCCTGATATGATGACAGACCTGTGTAAAACATAATACCAGCATTGTCATTGGCAAAGTTGTCAACACTGAAAATCGGTCTTGGTGGTGTCTGTGTCGAGGAATCCACAGGAAATGACGATGAAACAAAATCCATGCTCTGAGAAGAGGAGAGTGGAACATCATGTTGATCAGCCTCTATGGTTACCTCACTCTGGACTTCGTCACACGTCAATACGGAATCTTCACACACAAGGGAAGATGCAAGATCATCACCCCTCTCATTAGGTGTCCCCGTGCTGACATACTCTCTTCCAGACCTCAGTGTGCCGCACTCAGAATCGCCCGCCTGGATTCGTCTCCATGGAAAAATGCTTGGGACAGCATTGTCTCTCAGCTGCTTTCTGAGTGGTGTAGTACCTATTTTTGGAAATTTAAAATTATAAGACAGTGCATCTTTGCTTGTTCAATTTGTTTTTCTTTTAGACATTGGTAAATTACTTATCACTTTTGAAAATGCATGTTGTTTATTTTTGTTTACTGTAATATCTGAATTTTAAAATAAAAAAAATTAAATTAAAACTTAAATGATTTTGGAAAAAGTACATGAATTGCCACTTTGGTGGAGGCTCAGGGCAGCATATCCTCCTTTAGCACCAGCATCAGCAAACTAAATTATCATGGAATTCCCATACATGTTTGTATACATTTAAAAAGTATTTAGCAGGATAAATTGGAAATTTAAAATCGAAATCAAGAAACACAGTTATAATGAAATGTTGAAAAATAGAAACTAAATAATAAATTCTTCATGCAAATCAAAGCAAAATTTGGAGATGCGACATGATTGATTTTGTTGTATTTACATGTATGAAATGATTCAGATAATGTAATTTGCAATGTTAAGCCCTGGGTGGGAATCGAACCCACATACCAAAGTATGAACCCATTTTCATTTGCAGTAAAATTGTATGAGCCATTTAAGTCAAGATAACTGACAGTATTTATCCATCTCCGATTCTCATAAAATATGAGACCTGAATAATAGAAATTAAAGTTCAACACAAAATGTGTAAACATTTTCCTTCGACTAATATGTGATATGAAATCAATGACTTTTTACTAGATATATTCATAATATGACAGAGTTTGACACTAACGATAGCACACTGGCCCGACACAGCTGAATATTGAGGTCAGGCTACTTAACATGCCTTTAAACTTGCCCTGTAGGGCTTCTGTAAATTTTACCTAACACTTACTCAAAGCAACAAAAATAATTATAATTTACACACAATATACATGATAATTGTTAATTTCATTTCATTTTCAAATATATATTTTATCATAATTATTATTTTTGTAAGTCAAAATGTAAACTTTAAAGGTAATTCGGAATACCATAAATGTGGAATTTTTCGAATAGAAAAAATGTCTTGGGTACAATACTAGAGCGACATATAATTTTTACACAAAATACAGCCAGAATGCAGGATTTGGCATCTCTATTTTCAAAAATTTTCATATGTTTTCTGTAGCCCCATCAGCGGGAATAGGAAGCCCCCTCCTGCCCTTTACCCCCTCCTCCCTTCGTGACTCGGCCACCAGCCTTCGGCTGCTGGACAACTAATACATAAATAAACTGGGCTAGTACAAATAAGAAATGGCTAGCCCTGCTGACAGCTATGGTTTTAAAGTTAGTGTCGCTCCCTGAATCATGATTGAAAAAAAATATCTAAAATTATATAAATTGATCAGACTTGTAGTAAATAAGTAACTCCCTGTTTCAACTGTTAGAGGGTGTTGAAATCTTAGCACCATCTTTGCTCATTGGTTGTAGACTGTATCTTGAAGTCGCTGGAAAACCTAGTAAACGTTATGACTAAACAAGTGTAAAATATGTAATCTATTCATTGATGATATTTGAAATATAGTTAAAGAAGTCTACCTTAACTATATAATCTGGGTTTTATAATTTAAACACAGAGTCGGATACTGTAACTTGTATGATGAGGACATGTTGAACTTGTTATATAATGTTAATTCGATTAAACAATTTGTAAACAGAACACAAAAAATATCGATAAACAATTTAACAGTCGTTTTTGAGACAACTGTACCGTGGATAGTCTCCTGGATGTAGTCATCCTGCCTAAAATGTAGGGTGCAGACTACGCTGGATGACGAAGGTCGCCACAACCTTCCCGGCTTCAGGTCTCGCTTGATGGCGATTATCCACTGTCTTCGGAGGGCATCGTCTCTCGGAAAACGATGCCCTCCCCTGTTGGCACACCCCGGCACACAGCAACACGACGAAGGCATTCCAGAATTCTCAGATCGCTAATATAAAGTATTAAAACAGTGCTTGCAATGTGTAAACAGTAAGTAATGGAGGACCGAAACGATAAGTACGCCACCTACATCCGGGGAAAGGGGAATAACTGTAAAAATGTATGCAATTTTGGATGATTTACGCAAAATTCGTTTTAAAGTTGATTTTAACTGGCCGGGTTTCACAAGATTTGTCCTTTGTCCACAAATACATGTAGATCTAACGAATTCCATATTCTTCAATATCGCAGAAATTTTTGTAAGATATGTTTGCACGAATTTAAGTTGCATAAATTTTCTTTAATATGTTTTTTTAATTATTGAAATAAAAGTGTCTCTTAAATAGTTTCCTTTGTAGAAATACTTTGGTAAAAATTTCATTGAATCAATGTCAATGTACTTTGTGTGTATGAGGGTACCACGGTGTATCTTAATAATAATAATAAGATTACGACAGATCTGCAGATTTTTCACAGATGCATGACACTTATGTGAAACATGTATGGTGCAATTTTAAGACAGTTTACGGATTTAAGAAAGATTTTAGTCATAAGATTCATTGTGATTAGTAGTTGAAATAAGATCCAATTTGTACATCTCTACATGCTGAATTGAACATTTATTCCGTGTCTTTGTTGCCCGATTCGATTTGTACTGTTTTATGAGACGGGTATTTACACATTTTAATAAAATCACAACACCATCTAGGAATCAAACATAAATTACTACCGATTAACAATATAATATTTACATCCACTGAATATTTTCTCCTTTATTTCTTAAGAAAACCCATTGCGTTAATCACTGCATGAAATACAGTAGCCTGTACAGATTTCTTGATCAATGACTGTTCCATCAATGAAACGTATAAAAACGTTCGCATCATTAATACAATAATTAATCTTTTTGATCCTACCTTTAATGATTATTTAAACAGATATAAATATAAACAATAAGATATCTTTCTTTGTTTGTTATTACTGGAATTAACGGTCGCAGCTTTTGCAGAAAAAATTTACATAACCCGCTTACGCGGGTTATGTATTTTTTCTGCAACAGCTGCGATCGTTAATTCCAGTAATAACAAACAAAGAAAGCATTTTATTGTTTAAGTTAAAACAAACACAACAACGTACATTCAGTGTTAACTTACATTTATTTACTGCAAGTGCTACGAGTGCCGCAAGTGCTAGCTTTTGCGAACATCCACACCTTTATATAACATTAAAAGACATTGCTATCTAGCAATGATTTTTAAACAATCAAGACTACATGTATCTTTTTATTTTTATGATAACGCATTCAAATATAAACAAAAATAGCAGGCTTTATTTTACGACTCCAAGTGCTCTTATCAAAATTAGAAAAAAAATAAATGTAAAATGTAATTGTTTGATACAAAATATTTTCACAAAGAAATGTTGCAAAAATAATTATGATATAGAAAATATTTAAGGTAGGTCCGTACTTTCAGAATTTTCTGTCAAACTGATAATTTTTCAATTTGAATACATTGAACAAGTCTTAAACTTACTAAAACACCCATAAAAGACATGTCTTTGCAGGTTAATTTTCATACAACATGTCTCAGCGCACATACCTCTAAAAACTCAACAGCCAAAATTGAACATAAAAAAGTGTGATATCATATTTCTCTTAGTTATGCACCAAATCACATCAAATTTATGTTAAAACTTCTGAAGATCAAAAATGTCCATTTGCCAAGAGAATATTTGAAATCTTTACTGCAAAACATTAACAAATTGGTGTTGAATCTGTCCATGTCTTTCAGAAAAAAATCTCAAAATATCTTTATTTTTTATAATTCTCAAAATCCAAAATGTTAAGATGCCATTTTTTCTTTTAAAACTATTAAGAATTATATCTAATGTTAATAAAAACAGCTACTTTATTATGGTTGCCCAGAGAATTTTAACAAGACAGTCTTTTGAAGACGTATACCCCCATTTTTAAATATCAATTTTTTCAATTATTCAATGCAAAATTTTTAAAAAGTAAAAATTAAATGGATGATATAGGCTCTAAATCAATAAAGATAGATCTCAGGTAAGTTTGCATAAAAGAAGATTAAAAAGATTTAGGTCCATAAAAGCAATTAAGAATTCTGTTTCTGTGTATGTACTAAATGACATATAGATCTTATGGACAGAGTGCTAAGTGTTAATTTCCATAATAAATAATGTATATTAAATGCTTCATATGCACAATGACACTATAATAAACAAATATAATTATACTTGCTAAATCATTTTCAATCACCCAAAAAGATTTATAATTATATCAATAGAAAAGTAAAAATCAGAATTTTATATTGATGTGTAAAATTAGAACCGGATCCGTAAAAGTGTGGGCCTTCCTTAAACTGTACGTGTATAAAGAAAGATTTTTTAATGCAAATACAGGCTTAACAATAGCTGGAGGACGCACAAAGAAAACAAAATAAAAATTTGCAAGGTGCGCTGACCAAGAACCAATCATTACGAGGCTTACTGTGTGCTTTCGGAACGTGAAAAATTGGCTACCGAAGTTTTCAAGAGATATTGCTCCCTAGCACGTCGTTGATATGCGCTATATATATCGCGATCTCGCCGACACGAATTATGTCAGCGGAGTATCTTTGCAGAGGATAGACGTCTAGACGTGGAAAAAGTCTAAAAGAAGGGGGTACTAAACGTAATAAGGAAGACTTAAGAGACAACATCCAATGCAGGCGCGGATCTCTATGATTAGGCTATGATTTCTATTGCCATATTGCCTCAATTCTTTCACTTTAAACCCATATCACACATATTCATGTTCACCAGGGGGGGTCAGCGTTTTCCAGGGGGGGGGTCCAAGGTAACTTTTCTCTTGCTTTAGTATATACATTTTATAACCGTCGAAATTCCAGGGGGGGGACCCCCCCCCCCCCCCCCCCCTCTAGATCCGCGCATGCAATGCATCACCAAACCTATAGCTGCACAAGTGTAGCTCCCTGCTTAAAAATTTCGGACGGATAAAGATGAGAGCTACATTTACAATTACAAATGTACAAAGCGTTGTCAAAGCCCTAAATTACGCCGCCGCTTTTTTTTTTCGCTCTGACACTTCAGCTTTTGTGTCTTGTAGTTTGTGCTTTTTACGCTTCTACGATGGTATCTGATAATTAATCACATATTTCACTCATTTTATTGATACTTTATTTTCTTTACAACTGTTAGAATTAGCCTTCTATGGATTTGAAATATCGGCGTTATCATTTACAAACGGCTTTTAGAAATGAGAGCTAACCGAAAAGTGGTTACATGTAAATCAAAGTATCAATGTATAACTGAAGAAAAACTGAATTGAAATACTTGGACTGGACAGGATAAAATCTTCATAATGTTTTCCTACCCAACATCGATCATTACATGATTGATGTACATATTATTTATAGGAGCTACATGTATGTAGAACGAAAAAAGGCAGAACCCCAACCTACCCCCTCCACAACTAGGATTTTCAGAGTTGTGATTAGGTAAGAAAAGATAGTCGCCGCCCCCTCCGAAAGGAGGCGTTCTGTAAGGTTGAAATACTAATGAGTTAAAATTCAATGACTGAATGAATTATAGACAATTTAGTTCAAACAGCGAGAAAATTGCTTATCAATTTATCCATTTGTTTTCAACACCTACATAACTTTCGGATATAGTAGCTCTGAACAGACGTGTAAAGAAAAAACGATCTTACTTTGTATGAAGATAGTGACGTATTTATAAATCCTTTCTTCTTTTTATTTTTGCCAATTTTTTTGATTTTTTGATTGAGATGAAGATGTTTTTTTTCTCCCCGTAGTCGACCTATTGTATTTTTTTGGTCACGAATACGGGGATAGACGATTTAAGGGTGACTTCTAATGAACACAAGAACTAAAAGCTATGGTATTTATGTCACAGGTGGTGAAAAGAATATCAAAAGCGAAAAAAAGAAAAATAATTTCTGAAATTGCGATATATGCATCCCAATAAGATACATCTGGTATTTCCTGGAATAAAAACGAAATGTTTAGAAGAGAATTACTACCTAAGGTCTATTTTTCTTGCTTATTTTTTTCTGGCTCCTTTTTTATTCTTTGTTATTACTGTTACTTTGTCACAACTGGGGAGAACATGTTCGTTAATAATATTTATAAAAGAAATTGAAACGAAATAGCCAAATTTTAGAGAATTTTTTTTTTCAATTTTGGCCAATCCCGATCAAAATTAAACAGATCTCAATCATAATTGTACAATTTTTGGAAATAAATAACATTTCCCCAAGAACACTAGTCTGATTAAGTGTAATAAGGATTAAAACATTATTGGACTTGACAATCAAATAGATTTCTTCATCGTAAATACATGAAAGAGGCAAGAAATTAATATTTTATTCAGTTTGTGTTAATTTTGATCGGAATCGATTTAATTTTGATCGGGTAAGGTCCAAATATTTTTAAAAAACGATTTCTCTAAATTTCTTGATTTCGTTTCAATTTCTTTGAAAAATATGATTGAGAAACATGTTCTCCTCAGTTGTATGGAATGCCATATATACGACAGCCAACTGCTTACAGCCAACTGCTCACTGCCAACTGCTCACTGCTTACTGCCAACTGTCAGCTGCTTACTGCCAACTGCCACACATTTTTAAATAAATTCTCATATTTATATTGATATTTACGTAAATTTTCAAATAACCAGACGCGGATCCAGGCTTTTTTTCAGGAGGGGTCCACCCCAGTAAAAAAAGATCCAATCCAGAAATTTCTTCAGAAGTAAAAAAAAATAATCTCCTTTCTAAGATAAAATTATTTCGGGGGTGGTGTGTGTGTGTGTGTGTGTGGGGGGGGGGGGGTGTATGCTTCATATCTCCATGTATCTAGGGGGGGGGGGGGGCTGCAAGGTCATTTTTAGTCAGAAATTAATGGAAAATGTTAATTTATTTTCAAAACATCTTTCCTGTTTTTGATTTATAACACGACGATGTACATCCCCTCAAGAGACAAAAAAGCCTACGGAAAAACTGAAAACTAAAAAAGATTTGTTGTAGTTTTGCGGGCGAGATATTTTGAAAAATAAATTTTCCGTTAATTCTGTAAG